CCTCTTCCTCCTTAGTTTGACCAGCATCTCTTGTCTCAACCACGCCGGTCTCTTCCCTTCTTTGCCCGATTTCTTACACCTAGGGATCGAGAGCTCTTGCGCTCTGTGGATCACATCCTTAAAGATCTGCCAGCTCTGTTCTGTTCCCCTGTCCCTGAGGACCGTTTCCCAGGGAGTCCTTCTGACTATGTCCTATCATCTAGTCCATCATCTAGTTCACCTCATAGCACTGATCCTCAAGCATGTTAGAGATCTATATGCCCAAAACACTGAAAGCTGCACAAAATTTCTCAAATAACCTGGAGCAAGCTCTGGCAACACTAAAGACAACCTGGAAAGACCTTTCTATGGATAAACCAGTAATATTTATTTTAATTACAATACCTCACAAGCAATCTTTTCCTTTAAAATAGACTATAAAGACTAGTCAGTGTTTAAAGCATACAGAGCCCTCTAACACATAGAAGTCTAAAATATATAAACGCACATCAGAAATGGAAAATTAGACCAATACGCAGGAAATAACATGGGAAATTTTTTATTTTTTTTTTCCAATCATCGCGTCTAATCACTGTTTTTATAGAAGCAGAGAGAAAGACAGGAAGAATTCCATACAAGTGCTGCCTGGCTCTGCCTAACAGGCTGCTTCTTATAACCACAGGAGACATTACTTCCAACTTCAAAACCTGACTGTCATTGGATGCTCTGTTCAGTTAAAGTATTAACAGTATAGAACACAACCACACAGGGAGTTTGTATTGCAGCATCCTCAAATGACCAGGCCAACCAAGAGACCTGGGTCACATTATCACTACTACTGTAAGTCAAAAAAATTCCTACCTTCCCTTCACCAGGTTTATAAAATTACTCTGTGGGGGAGCCCGTTTGTCCAGCTCCATGATTCCAGAAGCAGTAAAACCAGCAAACTCTCAATGCTGAGCTGAAGGAGTCAAGAGTAACAAAATATTTCCAAAATTTGGCATTTTAAAAATGCTTACTAAATTTGGAACAGATTTGTAGAAGCAAGTATTTGCTTCTATATGAGACAGAGATGACCAAGACCACCATTTATGATAAATGCCAGAAAAGTACTCTTACAGTCTTTCGGTCTTAATACTGAAATCAGCTATTTCTGTATTAGCACCTAAAATTCTGTCAGAAGTCATGCAGTACTTATATATTCTCTTAAAAGTTTAAGCTCTTGGATACAAATAACAACTAATTGAAAACTCAACATAAAAATTATTTCCATGTAATAAAAAATTCTGGTAAGTGACCCGAATATAAGAGTTCAGGAATCAGAAGACAATTAACTAAAAAAAATAGAATACTATATTTGCTTTTAAATTCATGATTTTCAAGATAATTTCAAACTACGCTTGAAGTCCAACTCTGCTTTTTAATGATTTAAGCTGCAAATACCGCACTGAGACTTCCATTTCTCTAACTGTATGCTCGTACGCAGATTTCAGACGCTTATCTCTTTCCAAGACTATCTGGGTCATATATTGGTCACAAGACAGTACTCAGTATTGAAAAAAATCCAGTCTCCAAAGCAGAACAAAAAAACCCCCATATAACATTCTCCTATGCACTTTACACTCCAAATAACTTCTCTTTACCTCTTTTAAAGGGTAGTCCCAATGGTGGGAGCCTGGGAGCCTTGCCAAAGGGAACTGAACTTGGACATCCTCTGACTTGGTGTTTGTTTTCTTCTTTGGTATACGAAACTGAAAATAGATGATGTGACACATAATAAAACTAAGTTATCCACTGGTGCTATGAGCTGACATACTGCCACATACAAAAAGTTTTCTTGAGTATCAGGCAAAATAAAAAATTTGCAAGGGAACCACTGACCTGCAACTTTAATTTAAATGCATTCCTCACTGATGCTTGATCCTAAGTCATGTGTCATACCACATGAGGAGCTAGTTTCAACATATGAACTGTCTTAAAAAGCAAGAAAAAGCTCTTCCTATTTCATTAACTTTACAAAAACTTCAAACGTGTGCCCAAGAGGTGAGAACCAATCTACAGGCACTTACAGTTTTGTTCGTGCCCTCCGATTTGTTTACACTCTAGTTTAACCATCTCAGCTTAGAGAATGATAAAAGAAAACAAAATTGCTGAATGTCAAACCAGGTTTATGCTATCAAAAAAATTCAGGATGAAAAGCAATAATATCTTAGAATAGTACAAGTATTTTTCTGTGATAATTTAGCATCAATACACTACAAGGTACTCAAAACGGTATCAGCTATTGTCATTGACAACCTTCACAAGGATAGAAACAGCATTTCTAAAGTAATTATTGAAAGACAAAGCAGTTAGTTATTCACAGAAATTTGCCAACTCAGAAACAGTATGTAGAAAATAGCATTCATTCATTGACATTCAAAACAAAAATGGTCAAACTAAATTCCAAGCGCTTCATCAAGACAAGGAAAGAGGGTGACATTTCCTATCAGTTGATACTATTTTAACTAGTTTAATTAACAGAAATAACAACAGTGCAAGCCTTGCTATTTCTCCAGGTATCCCGAGAAGCAAATACCACCAGAACAGAATGTATCAGAGAGGGAATGCAATATTTACATCTTTCAGACAGCTGAGTATCTCAGCCAGGAAAAAGCTGAAGCTACTCCACATGATGGTCACCATCAAGCGTATTAAGAATTTAATTTGCAAGTCGCCAGATGCCCTACCTTGTAACATGAAATTACAAGCAAGGACTCCAGAACAGCAACGCTAACAACTGAATAATTAACACAGAAACTGCATTCATTAGCTCTGTAGGTAGTCCTTCAGACAGACCATAACTGAAGCACTGTATCATAATGAGACAATCCTTCAGTTTGAATTGTGAGTGCTCTTATTCATTCTCTACACTTCTTTGAAACAAGGATTTCTTTTTTTAGTAATTAGACCTGGATTTCTATACAGTACCTCAAACTGATTTTGCTGGTCAAATGCTGTAATAACAAACACGTCTTTAATAACATATTTCTCAAATTATATAGGACATGTTATGTACAGGCAACAACTTCTAACAGAAGCACCTCCCTTCCCTTTCAATCAACACTGAAGGATTGAAATAGGCATTTTCTTATTCAAGAACATCTACAGAACCATCTAAAATTGGGTTGTTAGATATTTTTTTCTTTTTTGAGAAGTGGCCTATAAACACGTTTTATCAGTCACAATGCATTCTTCTGATCTGCACCTTAATGGTCAGATACAAACTTTTTACTTCAGAACTCCACCTGCTGCCTGACTAGTGGTTTCTGTTATGAGTTTCCCAAGAACATATATTTATCTAAAATTTTAACATGCATTTAAAGTTACAAAGGTACAGATAACCTCTGTAGTAACACAACAGATAACATTGAAAACAGGTAATATCAGACTCAGAAAACAGAAAGAGACAGATGGACAGACAGAAAGGGATAAAAAAAGCACACAGTATGCTCATCAGCAGAACTTCCACCTCACTATACAATATCTTCTCAATGCTTATATTCATTAAGAAGATGTCGGTTTGCAGTGCCCACAGTTATCTTAGGGAACAAGCACGAAGTCAACAGGTAACCAACACAGGTCTGTGTCTACGGTAAGTGCAACGTATGCAGTTGCCCCAGCTTTTCCCTAATAGGAAGTGACTAACTCAACACATACACCTGCATACGCACTTAGCAGACTCCTGATCTAAACCAGCAGTACTTTTCTGAAGCTTCCCACCTGTAGGAGCAAGGGTCAGAGAAAGTACATAAACAAGGTGCTGGAAACAGCTTATTTCTAAAACACTAGACAGCCCAGACCTTACCCAATCAAACCAGTCACTGCGCCTACAATTTGTTTTCACCAGAGTTTCCATTGCTAGAAACTACTGCTAACAGGGATATTTTAGAGAAAATAAACACCAGTGTCAGTAATCTCTGAACACATCTCTGCAGATAACTAAATGTTATGCAGTTATGCAGCTGCTCTACTTACTTGAGCATTACTTTTAGTATTTTAGATGTTACCTTAGGTATTAAAATGTCCTTGAAAACATGCTACTTATGTGCAATCAAATGTTAAGCCATACACATTGAACAGCAGACATTACTATAGACTGCTACCAGAATAAACTATTTCTTAGAAAAGTGCGCTCCAACAAAGTGAAAGGTGGACAACTGAAGAATGAATTTGTTTGAGCAAATACATCAGAACACCCCATGATACCCACAGCCTCAGAGTACATTGTTGCAAATTGTAGGAACTTACATGACTTGAAGATGATGTTCTTCCTTCCATGATTTTCTCTACTGAAAAAAAATACAAAATAAACTTAGCAATTTGTGGTTTATTTATTCATTCAGAGGGAATTAGGACCACAGTAGTAGGTACTAAGCAAGAACAATGAAATAATTTCTGAGAAAACTAGCACAAAGAAAACTCATTCATAGAATAGTTTGGGTTGGAAGGGGCATTTTAAAAAAAAAGCATCTCATCCAACCCCCTTGCCACAGGCAGGGACATCTTTCACTAGATCAGGTTGCTCAAAGCCCTGTCCAACCTGACCTTGAACACATTCAAGGAGGCATCCACAACTTCTCTAGGCAATTTGTTCTAGTGCCTCACCACTCCCATAGTAAAAAAATTTCTTCCTTATGTCCAACCTAAATCTACTCTCTTTCAGTTTAAAGCCATCGCCCCTTGCCCTGTCGCTACAGGCCCTGGTAAAAAGTCAGTAACAGCCTGTCAGTAACAAGACACACATGTGCTTGGGCAAGGTTCTGGATTGTCAGCATGGACAGAACTGTTAACGAAATTTTCACTGGAATTTATCTTTAGTGAAGGCATTTACTGCTTAACTCCACCCCCTGGCAAGCACGCAACTAATAAGTAATTCAGACTTTGATTATAAAGTGGAATCACAGAAGACATCAGTAACACTACAGGAGCTCCACAAATAAATAAAATTCAAGGATTCCTGTTAACAGACAAAATTCTTCCTCAGCTTTAGAGGTTCAAGCATTCATAGGGGTTTAGTCTCTTTATAAATACTCTATATGAGTCTGATGCAAGACCTTTAAACTTCACAGCTAGTTTGAAGTTTCTCGAGAACACCTTTAAGTTCGTGTACTTTCATTTAGCCTGGTGTTTTTTCAACTTAGAGCCCCAGTCCCCTGGTGTGGGGAATAGCAACACAGAAAAGCTAAATTACCGCCTATTCCGACGCCTGCAAAGAGGAAAAGCAGACAAACGTCGGCCTTCTGACATCCCTGGGGGGAAACAGAGGCACCACCCAGGGGTGACACCACCCGGGCTGCCACCCCTGGGGGGAAACAGAGGCACCACCCAGGGGTGACACCACCCGGGCTGCCACCCCTGGGGGGAAACAGAGGCACCACCCAGGGGTGACACCACCCGGGCTGCCACCGCATGAGCCCGCCCCCACCGCTACGCAGGGCGACGGGG